TTGATGGGTGGAAAGTGAGGCTCTGATGGAGGAGAATTTGAACGGTGGGGTGCTTGTTCTGAAAGAGAGGAGGACATGGTTTAGAGAATGATGGATGGTGGTGATTGAGAGAAGAGAAAGGGGTTGGTGACGGCTGTGTACTTTAGCAAGGGATTCCATTGAAGTTACGAGAGAAGAGAAGTGGGCTAAAACCCTGATGTCGATGAAGATAAACAGAGAGGGGGAAGAGAAGTTTCAAAACCCTTGAGAAAAGAGGAATATCATGAAGCTTAATTCGTTCTTCATTGCTCTAGAACGATGTCGTTTTTACAAGTTGGGCAATCGGCCTGCATTGTCTTACGTGGTTGGGCTTTGTCCTTTAGATGCAAGAATGGGTGCAGCTCAAGTTCCAGGGTCTTAGTTGAAACCCAACTATATTAATAAGATTTTTCTTTTTCGATAATAATTTTTTATTAAAAAAAAATCAAATATATTAATAAAATTGAAGATAATTTTATAATGAATTTGATTTGATTAATTTTTTTTTCTTCAAACTTTGGCATAAAATAATTTTGTTTTTAATTTTTACAGTTTTGCTCCTCGATTATAGTTTTAATATAAGCTCGGAAAGGATCAGGTAAGATGTATGTATAGTTACTTCAATAAAAACAACGATAAAATAAAAGAATAAAAGAGATTTTATAGTGGTCAGTGGTACAGAAACCAAACCTCATCCATGTTATATTGTTGGGGAATGTTTACAGGTCAAATGAGGTTACAAAGAAAGTTTGTGAGCTAAATGGAGACATTTAACTATCGCAACTATTCTCTCTTAACACTCTCTAAAACGAGTCACTGTGTTTTTTTTCTTGAACTCTAATAAACAGAATTATCATCCCTTGAAACGGAGGTTGTAGACTCTTTTATACTTGGTTTGTAGACAGTGGTTGAGAATAGGGGTGTAGCCAAATAAATATATAAATGGATCAAGTTGGAAGAACAATACAATTTTAAATAACATAAGCATAAAATTTATATTATAAAATTCTCATTAATTATTATATTTATAATTGTCCTCAACGAGATTTCATCTTTTGAAGTATGTATAATGACTTCATCTTCTCCATTAAAAAAAAAAAAAAAAAAAAAAAAAAAACACAAAATTGTCAGTGGCCAACTCCAAATCCATTTGAATCAAACACTTTTATATAATAAATATAAAAATGGGTAAAACAATGTAGTCCCAAGAACTCATATTCTCCATATAAAAAAGCACAAATTTGGCAATATGGGTAAAACAATGTGATCCCAAAGCCAACTCCAAAATCTATTTGAATCAAACACTTTTATGTAACAAAGATAAAAATAGGTAAAATAATGTAGTCCTAAGAACTCATATTCTCTATATAAAAAACACAAAATCGGCAATATGGGTAAAGCAATGTGGTCCTAAGGCCAACTCCAAAATAAGTTTAAAAACTATCCTCTTACTTCCTCAAACTTCAATATATCATTACAAATAAAAAAAAAAAATGAGTGCAATTTGTCATCCCAGTGACAATTTCATCTTCTTAAATCATAATCTATAATTTAACCTTAAACTTTCAAAATAAAATAATAGAAATATAAACTGTATTACCTGAAAAATTGAAAAACGGTGGGGGGTGGGGGTAGGGGGTGTTGATGGCTTGGTAGGAGGAGAAAATTACACTTTGTGGATAAAGAAAAAAAATTGGCTTTGTAGGTTATTGAAGAGGATGAAGACGTGTGAGGGGTTGATGGCTTGGTAGGAAGAGAAAATTACACTTTGTGGATAAAGAAACAAATTTGGCTTTATAGGTTCTTGAAGAGGATGAAGACGTATGAGGGAAGGAGAAGGAGGGGGTTTACTTTGAGTTTGACAAGCCGCCGCAGCGAAACCACCCCCACTTTTTGGATAAAGAAAAAAATTTGGCTTTATACGTTATTGAAGAGGATGAAGACATATGAGGGGTTTACTTTGGTATATTGCAGCTTTTTGGTATTTTAATTTCATATAGGAGTAATTTTGTCAAAACATAGCAAAAAAAAAAAAAATAAAGTCAAGGAGGCCCCCTCATTCCTGGTTGAGAATGGGTGTTACAAGGTTGTTTGCACGTATAATCTCTCTAATTAGGATCTGAGTAAATAATTTTTATGCTTGTGATAGATGGGATCATGCTAATGACAACTTATGCTAGACAAACAGTGATGAGATGACACGTGAAAAGATCTTAGCTGTCAGACTTTGACATACCTTTTAAAGTAAAGGGCTTAAAACCAATATAACGTTTCAGATAAAAAGAAAAATGTAAATAGCATTGAAATTGTCGTAAGAAATAGAGAAAATTATTTCCTATAAACTGAAAGATAAGATGCCATTCATACAAAACTTTCTTTTAGTAGCCGTAAAAATATTAAAGAATGCATTTGATGAAGTAGCCTAAAATAATGGAGGAAAGAATGTGTACAAAGCATGGATTTGGACGGCATCATATGTGGGGACTGTGAACATATAAATAGGTTATCTGGGAAATAGACATTTAATTAATAAATTTAGAATAGGATATGATAAGATAAAAAAAATGGGAGCAAATATGATCACTTTTACATTTATTTATTTATTTCGAAATCGAGGAAGAGTATGGGCTCATCCTAGTCCAACTTGCCCTGAGAAATTNGTTTTGCTCCTCGATTATAGTTTTAATATAAGCTCGGAAAGGATCTGGTAAGATGTACGCATAGTTACTTCGATAAAAACAACATAATAAAATAGAGAATAAAAGAGATTTTATAGTGGTTCGGTGGTACAGAAACCAAATCTACATCCAATGTTTTACTTGGTCAAATGAGGTTATAAAAGAAAGTTCACGGGCTAAATAGAAGACATTTAACTATCGCAACCTATTCTCTCTTAACACCCTCTATTCTAAAATGGGTCACTGTGCTTTATTTCTTGAACTCTACTAATAAACTGCAATTATCATCCCTTGAAACGGAGGTTGTAGGCTCTTTTTATATTTGGTTCGTCTGACAGTGGTTGAGAACAGGGGCGTAGCCAAAAATATATATAAAGAGTTCACAGTTGGAATTACTATACAATTTTAAATTAATATAAGCATAAAATTTGTATTTACAAAATTCTCATTAATTAATATATTTATAATTGTCCTCAATGAGATTTCATCTTTTGAAAGTACTGTATAATGACTTTATTTTCTCCAAAAAAAAAAAAAATTGCCATTGGCCAACTCCAAAATCCATTTGAATCAAACACTTTTATATAATAAATATAAAAATGGGCAAAACAATGTAGTCCTAAGAACTCATCTTCTCCATATAAAAAAAAACACAAATTCAGCAGTATGGGTAAAACAATGTGATCCTAAGGCCAACTCCAAAATCTATTTGAATCAAACATTTGTATGTAACAAATATAAAAATAGGTAAAACAATGTAGTCCTAAGAACTCATATTCTCCATATAAAAAACACAAAATCGGCAATATGGGTAAAACAATGTGGTCCTAAGGCCAACTCCAAAATAAGTTTAAAAACTATCTTCTTACTTCCTCTAACTTCAATATATCATTACAAATAAATAAAAAATGAGTGCAATTTGTGATCCCAGTGACAATTTCATCTTCTTAAATCTTAATCTATAATTTAACCTTAAACTTTCAAAATAAAATAATACAAATATAAACTGTATCACCTGAAAAATTGAAAAACGGTGGGGGGTGTGGGGTAGGGGGTGTTGATGGCTTGGTAGGAGGAGAAAATTACACTTTGTGGATAAAGAAAAAAATTGGCTTTGTAGGTTATTGAAGGGATGAAGACGTGTGAGGGGTTGATGGCTTGGTAGGAAGAGAAAATTACACTTTGTGGATAAAGAAAAAAATTTGGTTTATAGGTTTTGAAGAGGATGAAGACGATGAGGGAAGGAGAAGGAGGGGGTTTACTTTGAGTTTGAAGCCGCCGCAGCAAACCACCCCCACTTTGTGATAAAGAAAAAAATTTGGCTTTATACGTTATTGAAGAGGATGAAGAGACATATGAGGGTTTACTTTGTATATTGCAGCTTTTTGTATTTTAATTTCATATAGGAGTATTTTGTCAAACATAGCAAAAAAAAAAAATAAAGTCAAGGAGGCCCCCTCATTCCTGGTTGAGAATGGGTGTTACAAGGTTGTTTGCACGTATAATCTCTCTAATTAGGATCTGAGTAAATAATTTTTATGCTTGTGATAGATGGGATCATGCTAATGACAACTTATGCTAGACAAACAGTGATGAGATGACACGTGAAAAGATCTTAGCTGTCAGACTTTGACATACCTTTTAAAGTAAAGGGCTTAAAACCAATATAACGTTTCAGATAAAAAGAAAAATGTAAATAGCATTGAAATTGTCGTAAGAAATAGAGAAAATTATTTCCTATAAACTGAAAGATAAGATGCCATTCATACAAAACTTTCTTTTAGTAGCCGTAAAAATATTAAAGAATGCATTTGATGAAGTAGCCTAAAATAATGGAGGAAAGAATGTGTACAAAACATGGATTTGGACGGCATCATATGTGAACAGTGAACATATAAATAGGTTATCTGGGAAATAGACATTTAATTAATAAATTTAGAATAGGATATGATAAGATAAAAAGGTGGGAGCAAATATGATCACTTTTACATTTATTTATTTATTTCGAAATCGAGGAAGAGTATGGGCTCATCCTAGTCCAACTTGCCCTGAGAAATTATGCTAATTAATCTCTATTCAAACCATTTAATGCATATTAACCCACTCTTCAAGCTCCCTCCAAAACCCTAACCCTACACTGTTTTTTTGTTCATATCTTTCCCACTCTCTTTGTCTCTTGCTACACTTGATCTCGATCGAAGACAATTTCATTTACACTTTCTCTTAAGTTAAGATGGATCAAACCAAACTAAAACAAAAAGCTTGGGATGTTGACAATCGAAATCTTTCAAAATGGTCCCCAAATGAAATCCCACCTTCACACTTCATTTATTACAATTACAAACAAGAGAAGATAAAGACTTACAGAACAATTAAACACTATCGAAGAAAACACATTGAGGTAGGGCATCGATCGAGTGTGATTCATGAAACGAGATTTTTACAAAAAGACTACAAATATTAGACACGCAGACAATGGAACAAAGAGGGCGGTGCCACGTTAATACAACGTGCCATCACTTCATGCAATACTCTTCCCACATGCCGTCACGCATCCCAATTACTATTTGGATTCTTCACACCTAATAAAATTCACACCCAACCTCCCAAACATATGGCGCCGTTTACCTCTTCTGTACTGTTCTAGAACTGTACTGTACTCTCTCTCTCTTTCGCTTCTCACAGTTTGAAGCTGCTATAAACTAACTGTGCTTTGAAGCTGCTAGTTATTGGCTTTGGTATTTTCAATAGTAGAATTTGAGAGCATGTTTCGGATCCTTTCTTTTCTCTCAATTTCTGTAACTCTTTGTCTTTCTGCTCTATTTCTTGAGTAGGCCTCAAAGAATTCCTTGTTTTCTTTCTCCAGTTCCTTCCACACTGTTAAAAAACACAGATATATTTGAAAACACGCTCTCACACATGTGTATATACGAGTTCACTGTATATGTATGTATGTCAAGAAATATGGTTTAGCCTTTTTGCTCATATGTAAACAGTAGGATGACTACTTTAGTGGGTGGCTATTTTTTACTTGAAAAGGCAAATTTTACCTGTCGCGGTAATGACTGGTTTGATATTTGCATGCTTGGAGAGAGCTTCCATGCACTCTTCTTTGTTCATGTTGAAAATAATACACTCTTCTATTAGATGGTGCACCTGTATATATAATCCATCATCACCTCCATCAAAAAAAAAAAAAAAAAAAAAAAAAAGGAACTATATCACCAACTTACCGTGTGAATATACGAAGCAGAAGAGTCGCCCATGATGTTGTACTATCTGTCTGCAAGTAATTAGCAAGGTGGAGAAGAAGAAGCTAGAATTAGAGAGAAAGCGAAAGAAAATAATGGAAAACAGTAGGAAAAGTAGACGAAAAGAGAAAAGGAAAGGGGGATTTTTTTTTCAAAGAGGAAGAAGAAGAATGGAGTTAGATCGAGAAAGCCAAAAAAATATTGCATATATAATGACTGCAGTGCCATATGTTTGAAGAATTGAGAGAAAGTTAAAATTACTGATCTATTTTAATTAATTAAAGGTAATAAAATGCTATAGTTAAGTGGGGTCCAGATTCCCACGTGGGAGGCGGCTTACGATTGGTGGAGAGCAGATTAGGAGAGATTTTATAAGCAGCTTATTATTTGTCGCTTACGTGGCCACTATGTCATTCTCCCACGTGAAATATGGGGTCCACTCACTTCCACCTCGCCAGCTCCACACTCCTGTGCAGCGATACGGGGGCCCACCGTTCCAAATTGCCGTAGACCGCTCACATTTACACCGTCTTTTAACCTATCAAAGATTTACACGTTCACAAAGCACGATAAAAAGTCTATAATAGCTGCGGCTACCACGTGATTCATTTATTTATTTCTACTCTTGGTATAAAATACTATTTGAAACGCGTCGTTTTTGTAATCTCTTTCCGTTTTAGTATTTATAAATAATGTTACTGTCACCGAATGTATCAAATAACGTGATAAAATCTTGATCGTTAATTAATTTTAATTTAATATCAATCAACGGTCAAGATTTTATCATGTCATTCAGTGTATAACCGTTCGTGACTGTATCCTTTCCGTAAAAATATTTATGTAAAGCCCTAATCAAAACGTAACTCTTCGCAAAGGGTGATCATCTAAGACATCGATGATCGATGAAACTCCATCATTTTATAGTCTAATAATTCTTTTATATAATTGTATAATAATATTAAGTTGATAATCTTCTCTTACAATCTCCAATGTGATAGTTCGTTATTAATAAGGTTATAAATAGGCAGACGAGACTCGTATAAACAAACAAGACCCATTTTACGAGCTGGTCAATAACAATTTATCACATCAAAAATGGTGAGATTGAATCGTGGACCTAACATTACTCATAATTGTATCATCATCTCATCCTGATTGCCTGTAGCTGTGAGTCTGTAACGAATATATTTAATGCCTCAGCCTCAGCTTTTCCGTCTTTTAGACGCTGAAGGATATACAATATACCAGCACGCCTACTTTCATTCTCATCTTCATCACCGATTTCTATTCTGCCATCATATTTCTGATAAAGAATATGCTCAAGTGCATGGACATAAGATTCTCATCCTGCTGCTGCATGCATATTGATTGAACTTGTCATGTTTTGTTTTTAAGAGAAACAGACAGTGTTTCATCTTATTTACTCAGCCGTTGTATTCATCTATTCTACCTGTCAAAATTCAACCCTCATTTACCATCTCCTCTAATTTTATGAACATCTCTCATCAACTTTCCAACAAAATTCAATCACATCACCTGTCTCTTCTATTCAAGAATAGGCTGCATCTCTCCAATTCCATCAAATACCAATCAAAGTTAATTTGGTTTCTTATTTTCTTTTTTTTTTTTTGGTAACCGAAGTGTCCAGACAGCTTACGGATACCTCAATTAATCTCTAGGATCTATTGAACATCCTACAAACCTAAAAGATTAGGTAAGTCATAATATTATTGTAGTAAGTGACCCCAATATCTAAACTCAGAAACGTAATGACTAGAGTAAACCTCTTTGACTATCAGGCCAACTCCTCGAGATTAGTTTGGTTTCTGATTTAAAATAATGTAGAGAGCAAATTACTTAGAATGTAGGTATTGCGCTAGTGTTGGAAGGGATTAGGATCATTATTAAGGAGATGTCAATAATTAACTGTTTTTAGTAAAACCAGCAGACCTCTTAACCATATATCTTGTCTTGTAATTCAACAAGCCGATATGATATCTCAACGAAATTAGTGTTAGAAAGTTTGTGTTACCACTACTCAATTGGGCATATTGACCCACTAACTACTACTAAAGAAATATATATTCATGATCTTTGAAGATTAAATTTCCGTTTAGAGAATGATGATCATTTTTCTTAGACTTTTAGATTCAAAGAATATGTTGTCCATTCAATTGGATTATTTCAAAAATTTGACATAATATTTTAAGCTCCGTTTGTTTCACTCTTCCAAATGTTATTCTTGGTTTTCTTAATAAAGTTAAATAGTAAAATTGGCTTATTCTCAAAATATTATTCTATATTATTCAATTTTTTTGAACCTCCTATATTTGTTAATTTAACGAAACACCCCTAAATTTTTTTTTAGAAATTACAAAAACACCCTAACAACCCATATTTACCAGATTTTGGCCACCACTGCCGGAAGCTGACCGGAATCTGGTGTAATGGCGCACTACCTGCTAAATCTGGCCGGTAGTGCATCGATCTAACCTTTTCTGGCTAGATCTAGGGCCAAAGATCTGACCGACAGTACTATCAACGACGATCGTATCTTTGGTCGTCGATGACCAAATGCAGTCAGATCTGGCCGTCAATGGCTAAATCCAGCCGTAGATCTGGCCGGAAAAGGCCATATCGGCACACGACCGGCAAGATCCAGTCGTTCATATGTCGATACAGTGACTCCGGCCACCCTTCGACGGTGGTGGCCGGTTGTCCGTATTTAATGGGTAGATTGGGGGTGTTTTTGTTAACTTTTAATATTTTATTATAGAGATGTTTAGTAAATAAACAAACATAGGGATTATTTTTGTTAATTTTTAAATTATATTTCGTAATACCCATCCAATTTAATTTTTTTCAAAATATTATTCTAAAAAGTATCATAATAATGAAACAAACGAACCCTTAAAGTTTTAACAGTATTAATTTGGAGGTGGGTGGCGAATGAAGTGGAGAAGAAATCCTGATTGACTAAAAGTGAATAGGCTTAGGTGAAATAATGGCATTTAAAAGAAAATTAAATGTTTAAGTAGGTAATAAAGTATTATACCATTATTGCATTACCAACTTTAATAATCAAAATATTATTAAATAAAATATTTGTTGGTGAAATTCCAGCTAGCCTTGATAAGGACGCGGCTCCCTGTTAGTTCACATTCGGACTGTTATCGAAGAGGACAATTTCAACTAAGCCCATTGGCTTTAATTAATTAATTAATTATCCAAATTGCCTCTTACCAATAATCAACATGCACAGTATCACAAACTAGAGAATATCATTTTAGCTTACCGTAAAGTCTTCACCAAACTTGGAAACATTTTATTATCGGGTAAAATATATAAAGAGACATATTATTAAACGACAGTCATGTAATGAACCCGCCACTTCAAAGATTCGCCTTTCTTTCCAAGGCACCCCTCTATAGTCAATACACTCATGTAATGAACGATATCTTCGTTGAATGTTAGAATTTTCGCCGGAAAAGATTCCGGCAAACTTTTTCCACCCACACCCTACTGCCGGAGACTTAAGTTACCGGTTCAAGATTTGAAACTGTAAGGAATCGAAAATGAAAATAGTTAAGAAGAGAATTGCAGAGTGAGGGACAGAAACAAAAGCTACAAGTTTGGTATTGAGATCTCAATCTCATTGTGACATTTTCTTTCTTCAACAATAAACAAACCAAAAACTCATAGGTGGATACAGCTCAATTTGGAATATATGATAGAATTAAAAACAAAAGACACTCATGAACGGAGAGAAACATATATTTCACTATACAACAATAATCGTACAAAGCAAATGGCTATAAAAGATAATCATTTAACACATGCATGCCTGCGCATTATTTCTTCCTTTCACTTTGTTACTACTAAGATTGCCGAACCTCATCATCAGACAATGGACGAGGCTTTGCAATTACAAGGGGTAGCCACACCTTCTCACATCTCTAGTGAAGAAGGGATGTCTTAGAGCTTCTCTTGCTTTGAGCCGCTCTGCTGGGTCATATCGCAGGAGCCCTTGCAACAGATCTATCAAATCACCAGCTGAGTGATCTACATGCTGCATTATTAGATTCTGCAAGCAAAAAGAAAATCAAAGTCGTAATTAAATCTTTGCTTCCACACGGAAAAACGTTTCATTCATTTTTTAAAAGGCTGGGATCACAATAGGGTTATGGAAAAATATTCTAAAAACATGTCAGAAACATTATTAAAAGAAGTAAACAACTGAAACACGAAAAGAAGTTTAGAAACTCTTCACAACTCCAGACAATAAAAATCTAGACAAGGATTGTTCTCCAAGGTCATTGACAAGATTTGGAAGTGCTATTGACAGCAGACAAGTACAGTGCTTGGGATATGTACATGTGCAAATATTAAACTGAGGTCAGCTAAAGCATTCCCAAATATTTCCATCAACAACAAAAAATTAAAATAACCAGAACATCAGCGTCAAACATGCCAATGCTCATCCTTCCATCAAACAGTAAAAGATTTTGAAAACTAACATTTTTGACAAAATAAACTATTATAAAGAATAAAAAAAGTAGAATAACCTCACAAATACACCAACTAGCTAGCAAATAACAATCTAGGTCAGCAGTTATCAAAACATAAAATATAAATAACCAAGTACAAGAAACTCCCAGTAACAATATACGTACTCAAGCTCTCACAAGCCTTTGAGAAGAAAAACATCAAAGTAACCAAAAGCAACTATCTGATGGCATAAAAACTCCATAACCAATTTCAAAGATGCAAAGCTTTCACAAACGAATGCCAGACGTAGCATGAAATCATAGCATACACTGGCAACCTCATGGGATATAATTTCAATAAGAATATTGAAGAATGCAAACAATGAATACTTGCCGGAAGACGAGGTAATTTCCAAACTGCCCTCATGCTTTCTCTTGAAGTTGCACCGTCAGGCCAATCCAATCGTGCACCTCTTCTAAAATATTTCTCAGCACGACGGCTGCAACAAGATCATGCTCAATCTAAGAATTCCAACCACCTCAAAGATCAGAAGAGTATCTGGAAAAACTAAGGCAAAGCAATGGTTCTTACTCGGCTCTAACAGCCATATGTTGGGGTAGAGGCCCTAAAACCCTCTCCATCATAGCAAGATGCTCCAAATTCTCATGTGTTTGGAAAAGAGCCTCGCCCTGCTCACAAAAACATTGAAGAAGAAAATAAGGTAAACGTCGTATTCCCCACTTCATTAATCATACTAAATGGTGGTTATAGTGATTATTATTGGTGATGAGAGATCTATGCGAATGTTTTCAATGATGGAGGGCCCCCAGCCATTGTACATGTAACCAGAGTATCTATAAAACCCAAGCAATTTAAGATTTGGACCAAGAGTTAAACCAAATGGGGGTAGTCAAACATAGATGATAAAACAACTTGGCTCTAATTCCATGTCAGACAAAGCAGATAAAAGTGAAGACTATTTGGTGAATAGCCTGTTCATTAACTAATGTGGATACAATAACACCAAAGTGTAAGATAAATCAACTATTAACCAAAATGTGAGAGCAGGAACACATTGATAAGGAGTTACTTACAGAGCAAAGTTCAACAAAGATGCAACCCACACTCCACAAATCACAAGGATAATTCCATCCAAGACCTACATCAAATGTCTAAGAATGTGATAAGAAGAAATAAATAAAACACCAACTACAATGCGCTAATGGAAGCAATCATTACCCAAAATAACCTCTGGTGCACGATAATGTCGTGTTGACACAACGTAGCTGTGATCCTGATGTTCAAATGTTGTGCTTCCAAAATCAATAAGCTTAATCGCACTTGACTTAGGCAGATTCTTGAAATAGGAACCATCTTTAGTGGACCGTGATAGAAACTATATCACATACAAAAGAAAATCAAAAGGTATCAATTACTAGCATCTTAAGCTTTGTTGTTATCAGAATTGAAAACATGAATTCAATCATACTTGAGATAAGATACAAGATATGAAATAGTGCCCTACTCTTGCCTAAGTTCCTATCAACTTAACATGACACCTATGTGGTCACTTCAAAACCACAGGGAGGGACACATTAACAATTAACCAGATAAATACTGCATCTTGGTCAACTTCCTCATTGACTTCAAAGCAAACATTTCCATGTATTAATAAAATGCAATGGTTCTTAGTCCCTAGTTCTTAACCAGCCTTTTATCAGAGTCAACTTCCTCATCCTCGTCCCAAAAGTAGCAAAACGGTACAAAAGAATCTGATATAAACAAAGCCCCAGAACTTAATACATTTAATTCAAAGGGGCCCACTACATATCAAATTTAGTTCATCTATCACTTCACCTCATCCATATCCATGTACAACCATCAAAGAAATATGCTCCCAAATTAAGAGCATGCCTTGAAGAAAAAGCTTACCCGATAATCTGGTACTTTGACATATTCAGCAGAAACAAGAAGAATATTTTCTGGCTTCAAGTCAGTGTGTATAAGGTGTAAATCATGCATAACTGCAAACATAAAGAAAGGGAATGAATGAACAAGAAGAACAAGGTATAGACATCTTCAACAATCAATGGACACTTATCTAAACATAAATTACTTTAGGTTTTAAAAAAGTTGGAATCTGAATCCACTATTAATGCCAGAATTCCAGTTTCATATTAAATCTATCTGCATCAAGTAGATAAGATATAGATAAAAATGGGCAAGAATTGTCCACACACATGCTACAGACTCCAATAGTTGTCTGCCAAGCTCCCGAACAAGGTCAATGGGAAATGAACGGTAGCTGTTTTTGCGGAGAAAATCGTATAAGCTTGGCCCAAGCTTCTCAAAAACCTGTTGAAACCATTTAAATTCATCCGCAAGTTTCTTAACTCACAGAATATTCAGGCATGAAAGAACATGCAATGCCCCTTCAAATTAATCAAATCACAAATACCAATAAATACTTACAATACAAATATGATTACGATAGTCAAACCAATTCCGTATTTGCACACAACTGCAAAGAATGAAACCGCTTACACCAAAATGACCCCAAACTTCTACAAAAATGAGGGAAGAGACTAAAGGACAACATTCTTACCGAGTACCACCAACATCATGCCTGGCAAACCTCTGTAGAACATCAATTTCAATCATGGCCGCTTCACGGTACTTATTTATGGAGCGAACAATTTTGATTGCCACAACTTCTTTCTTTTCATTGTCAAAACATTCCAAGACTTGCCCAAATGTGCCTGAAAATGTGCCATCAAAGTGATTTCAATAACATAAAATCCCGAACTATTATGTATACTTGCACCAGAAACACCATGCAACAAAAGAATCAGATGAACAAATGATAAAGAGAAAAAAATCAACTCAAGGAAAATTCTACCCGACATAAAAAATAGATAAATAATAAAACTAAGAGAGATATTCGAAAGATACATACAATGAGGAAAAAAGAAGACAACAACAAAGGTAAAAATACTGAACTTAACAGGAAAACACTAACCTTCACCCATTTTGCTGAGAATCCTATCTGTAAGAATGGGGAAAAGAAGGCTATTAGTGAACAAATTATGAGTATCACCAGCGGACCAAATAAAAGATCGATTGCCATCTCATTTATAAATGGAGAACAACAAATAGTTGAGATGTCACACGGCAATACTTTCTCACACTAGAGTAGAAAACACACATTTAATGATGCATAAATCATGTCACAAGTGGGAGATTCTGTAACTAAAATTCAAAGCATATGCAATATACTTAACGTTACATTGTCGATTTGTCATCTAGTTCCATTAAAATTCAAAGCACATGCAATATACTTAACATTACATTGTCGATTTGTCGTCTAGTTCCATTAAAGAGGAGATAACTCCCACAATTATGGGAATATACTTACAGCGAGGAGATAAATTTTCCCCTATGGCAAAAACATAATGGCCATCTTTGTCGTCAGGTCTCCATGGAGGTGAACCATTCCGCGGAATTCCACCATAAAACAAAGACGAGCACACGTAATTGGGCACTGCTCCATTACCAAACTCCTGCCCACAATATAAAGCCGGAAGAACCTGCACAAGACCCAAAAATAAAAAAATAATACAAAGCCCGAAAGATTATTCATTTATGTCAAAATAAACCAAATATAATTCTGCTACGCGAACTAAGGTCATGAATCCCATATATTTGACAAATTATCCGAATATTTATTGATGATAAACAGAAAATCACTGGCAAGAACCTGTAATTGGTTCTACATGTGTTAAAATATATAATCTTTGTACTAAGACATGTTATAACCTTGTAATTCAAATCGTTAATTACTAATTCTCTGTAAAATTAAGATGCAATTGTACATAAATGAGGCAATTACAACAATATATGAATATAGATGAAATTAATTCATAACAATACAAGCTCAAGAGAAATTTATACCTTTGGAGCAGGAAGAGGAGGGGGGACATCCCATGTTAAACGAGGTCGTTTCCTTGGACGCTTGTCCATATTCTTATGTGGAAACTCTATAATCCTTTGTGTTTCCATTTCTTTATTGTTTTAATTTTCAATAGTACTTGAGAAAAATTAAGAAAGCCATAAAATCAAATTCTATTTAGAATGAAAAAATTGCGAAATTTTAAAATTGGGAGAGAAATCGAAAAAAAATATTTGAGTTTTCGAAACCCTAATTAGATGATGATCTTTGAACTGAAAAGGGAGAGAGATCTGGGGAGCTAAACCTGTGGCGAAATCTAACCGTGATCAGGGGTTGACTTAACCCGAAATGACGGTTAGTTTCTTACTATAGTTAACAGGTGGGTCCCAGATTCGTGTAGATCGTTACCGGGACCACTTGTGCAGTTTTTGAGTGCCGCGTGTAAATTGGTGGACCCACTGTAGCCCAGATCATTTATAACTTAAAATTGGGCTTTTAAGCCCAATTAAATCAAAATCTCGCCTCGCACGATTAATGCATTTGTATACGTGCTTATGCCGTCATGAATGACTTCTTAAATCTTAATAAACCCATAATATCAAATTAAGGTAAGTTTAAATAATAATTTTTTAATTATAAAAGCAATTGAGGCATTCTTACACAAAGCCTGAAATAATCTTTACCAAAATGTTCCAAGATCACAAGATTAATTCTATTTATTTTTCCTTTAAATTTATTGCTTATATAATTTGTTTTCATTCCCTATTTTTTTTTTTTTTTTTTTTTTTTTTGCTTGATTTCTTGTTTAAACATGGTAAATTATTGTAGTGCGTGTTGGTGATGAAAGGATTTATGAAATTTCCGAAGATTAATCGAATTAAACTTAGATTATGCAGAACCACTGTATTCACTTTCTACTTAGAACTAATGGTGATAAAGCTTAATTCAATAATCAAAATTGGAAGCTTCAATCTCATGCGTTTGCTCTATAAAAGACTTCAAGACAACATAAATTTCATCTTTCAGTTGATGGTTCTGAGCACCGGTGACGAAGACATGAATTTTGGTTCCAATTTCAATCCAACTGCAACCAGGAACCCTCTTCATCCTTCTCTCCTTCATTTCTCTTCTAATTGTTGAAACAAAATCCCACCGACCTGCCACAGAATGCACATTCGATAGCATTACATAAGACGATACATCTTCAGGATTCAATGCCAGGATTCTTTGCGCAGCAAGTTCTCCCAGTTCCATGTTTGAGTGAATCCGGCAGCCTCCAAGCAATGCCTTCCAGAACCCAATTCCAGGATCAAAGGGCAGATCACAAAGAAATTCTTCGGCTTCTTTAAAACGCCCTGAACGAGAAAGTAAATCAACCATGCAAGCATAATGCTCCGGCTTCAGCATGCCGGGATCTTCAAGTCTTATCTGGTTGAAATATGAATAACCCTCGTCAACAAGACCTGCATGATTACAAGCCCATAACAAGCCAAGAATTGTAACATCATTAGGTCTAATACATTGAACCTTCATCCTTTCAAAAAACTCAACAGCTTCTTCTCCTCTTCCATTTTGTGCATAGCCACATATTACAGCATTCCAGGAAACAATATTTCTTTCAATGAGTTTATTAAAGACCAAGAGGCTGTCTTCCATGCTCCCCGATTTTGCATAAAAGCTGATTAGAGCATTGCCAACATACGCATCAAACTTACCCAAAAACTTCATAGCACAGGCATGAAAACTCTTGCCCATACCAAGTGCAGCTATATTGGCAGCAGCAATGAGAGCACAAGGAAAAGTGCAATGATTGGGCACATATCCTTCTCTTAACATCTGGACGAAAAGATTCACAGCCTCTTCATTGTGGCCCGTTTGGCTAAACCCACCAATCATGGCATTCCAAGAAACAATATTTCGCTCAGGCATCTTTTGAAAAAGCTTGACAGCATCTTCAACCCGATCTTTCTTCAAGAATCCGCGTATCATAGTTGTGTAAGAAACTACATTTGGCTTGTGGGTATCTTGGAAAACTCTTGTAGCTTCGTCAATGGAACCAAGCTTGACATAACAATCCAACATCGCACTACCCACAAATACATTTGACTGAAGTCCCATCTTTGTGGCACAAGCATGAAGTTGATTACCCAAATTAAGGTCCTTCAACGCAATGGATGAGTGAATTATAGTGCCAAATGTGAACTGATTGGGTCTAATATTCATCAGAAGCATTGATGAGAAAAGATATACGGCTTCTTCATGTTGATGTTGCTTATTAAAGCGGCCAATTATGCTTGTGGCTTGAACTACATTCAAGTCAGGCACTTCGTCGAACAACTGGCGAGCATTTGAGAATTTGTCTGATTGCATATCTAAGCTTCCAAGTATATGGAAACTGGCTTTTTGGATTTCGGTTAGATTATTGGGGACAAAAGTGTGCATTTTCCTGAGTTTGGCCCGGGACAGAGATGATCTAAATATTTTCTGGTTCATATTTGGCTTTTGGCGGGTTATTTGGAATGCTCAACTAAACAAGTGGTGCTGATACCTCCTAAGTTAGGCCTCATTACCGTATTAATTTTTGAAGGTGCGCCAATTTCTTAAGTTGACTCTCCGAAATTCCGTGAGAAAAAGGGTGAAAAAAAAATATATATATATATATATATCACGTCAATATAACATCCCGATTAAGTCAGGGTTACTTACTTTTTTTCAACTAAATAATAGTTTAATGATATTTTTCTACTCACATACTTTTAAAATACTATTTTACTATCCAAATTTATATTTTAGTGGTGAATAGAAAACAAACTCGATCCAAACTGTTAGAGCTTTTAAAGAGGGAAGGTCAATGAGTCTTTTGATAATGAAATGTTGGATTTTGATAGTTAGAATTGATCGGAATTTAACTTGAGAGCGGCGACTACGTAAACTTTAATCGCTCGATTACCGACAATTAGCGGGGTCAGTAGGAATAGGTTTTGAAGGGTTTTGGTGAGTGATAATCGAGGAAGTGAATAGTGGTAATGTGGGGTCGCAACAATGTCGAAATCGGAAATGGAATATAAATTTGAATAATAAAGTGACATTTTAAAAGTTGTGGGTGGAAACATGTTATTAAACCATTATTTGAGTGGGAAAAGGTCAGTTTACTCATCAAATCATGTGTTTATTTTCTCTCTAAATAAATGTATATTACATGAGTATATCAGTAATAGGTTAAGCATCTTCATATGAATAATATGTTTAAATAATTTGGAAATTAGAATAAAGATTTGAGTAAAAAAATTAGAATGACAAAACAAATTTTCTTTACACTATTTATGCTATTATTTTTTAAGAGAGAACGACAATTTCCCACCCAAAGGTTTGCCGTAATTACATTCTCCTACCCATGAACTTTGACAAAAATATTTTTCCACCCATCATCAATCTCCGTCAATGGAATATGCTACTTAATACTTAATAGGGGTAAAGCTACAAAAAGGCTATAATACCCTTTACTATTTTCTTTATAATTTTTAACAAGGTTGAATAACATTTTCCCACCCAAGCTTTATTAAATATATTTTCACCCCTAGTTTGGTTTATATTAATTTTAGGGTGCGTTTGGTTGGGGGTAATAAGAGATTACTGATGTAATATCATCTTATATTACTTAATTATCACGTTTGGTTGTTAAGTGATATAAGATTCCGGTAATCTTCTAAAACCAATAATAGTTATTGTTGGTAATATACGAGGTAATCTTATTACCTTAATTTTCTTAGATATTTTAAGATTACTTAGTAATCTTATTTTTATTACAATTTTACCCTATATTAATTAAATTTTAGGACAATAATGCCCTGTTTTAAAAACAATTTACAAAAATACTAATAAACTATTTTATCCTCATATACAAAGTTTTTAGGACGTAAATATCCCTAAAATTTAAAAAAATTACCCAAGGGTGGTGGTCAGATCTGGCCACCACCGCCAACCGTCGACCACCACTGTCGACGGCGACAGAATACAGCTAAGCAGTCGAAAACAGCCATATCTATGTCTGTTTCACGACTAGATCTCCACTGTTGCCATTGCCAACGGTGGTGGTAGGTCGCCGGCAATGACTTAGGGTGGGTGTGGATGTTTTTGTTTAGTTTTAAACTTTTTTTGTTGCTGAAGTGTTTTAGTTAAATATGAAATGTAGAGGGTTAAAAGAAATTATTCACAAAATAATATATTTAAAAAGGATGGTAATTTAGTAATTTATATAACATAGCCACCAATTTATTCCTCTGAACCAAACATATTGATATAACATACCCACCAATTTATTCCAACCGACCAAATATACTTCTCTAAACATTCCCAATAATCTTCAAGGTAATCTATCTTTCCGTTTATATAACATTCTCAGTAATACAATATTCTTTAAACCAAATGCACCCTTAGGGTGCGTTTGGTTAGGGTTTGTATGGGATTACTGAGGTAATATTATCTTATATTACTTCATTATCACGTTTGGTTGTCAAGTAATATAAAATTTCGATAATCTTTTAATACCAATAGTAGTTATTGTTGGTAATATTGGAGGTAATCTGATTACTTCCATTTTTTTAGGTATTTTAAGATTACTTGATTATCTTATTTTTATTACAATTTTACCCTTATTAATAAAATTTTAGGACAATAATGCCCTTGTTTTAAAAAAATTTACAAAAATACCAATTGACTATTTTATCTTTATATACAAAGTTTTTATGACGTAAATACCCCTAATATTATACAAAATTACCCAAGGGTGGTGGTTGGATTTGGCCACGACCGCCAACCACCGGTGACAACATAATATAGTACGATAAGCCATATCTGGCTGGCCATGTGCCGAGAAGGCTGTTTTCGGCCATGGATCACAAATCCATGACAGGAAACAACCAGATTTGGTCGTGAAACGGTTGTAGTTTCACGGCCAAATATCTAGCCTTTCACGACTAGATCTCTACTTTCGTTGTTGTCGGCAGTGGTGGTAGGTCGGCCGCAGTGGCTTAGGGTGGGTGGGGGTGTTTTTTTTTAAGTTTTAAACTTTTTTTATTGTTGGGATGTTTTAGCTAAATCTGAAATGTAGGGGGTTAAAAAAATTATTCAAAAAAAATATGTATATTATATTAATATTTAAAAATGATGGCAATTTAGTCAGTTATATAACATACCCACAAATTTATTCCTCTCAATCAAACATATTAATATAACATACTCACCAATTTATTTCAAGCAACCAAACACATTTCCCTAAACATTCTCAGTAATCTTAAGGTAATTTATCTTTCCATTAATATAATATTCCATAAACCAAATGCACCCTTAGGGTTAATAAATTAAAAAAATAATAATAAATTAAAGTAAAAATTGAAGTAAAAAAAACGAAAAATAAAAAAATTATAAAAATTTGAAAAAAAAAGTTGACTAGAATTTCACCCAACGATTCTGGCTAATTCGCACCCGACTAGTGCGATTCCTACTGATTCACTCTTGATTGGCTGCAATTTTGACCGAATCGCACCTGATTGGGTGCAATTCTGACTTATTTGCACCTGGCAGGGTGTGAATTCGATCGAATCGCCCTTGGCTAAGTGCGAATTTGACCACTTCGCACTTGGTTGGGTCCAAATCAGTTGGAATCATTGGGTGCGATTTCAGCCAACTGTTTTTTTAAGTTTTTTAAATTTTCACAATTTTAAATTTTTGGATTTTTCTTCTTTTTTTCAATTTTTTAGTTTTTATTTTTTGTATATTATATTTTTATATAATTTCATAAAATATATACTTTTTTTTTTTACGAAACATTCATACTTTAAAAGTGAAGCCTCCATTGTAATTTTAGAAATTAAAGATAGTTAAATAGCTAATTTTCAAGTTTGTGATGGTAATTTAAGGGTGTAAGTAACATTAACCCTATTATGGGGGTGTTTGGATCATATAATGTTTTATTATAAGGGTACATAATAGTAACAGAAAGACAGATTACTAGGAATATTTAGAAAATGTATTTGGTTAGTTCGAATAAATTGGTGAATAATAGGTTTGGTTGGGAGGATAAATAGATGGGTATGTTATATAGATTACTAAATTGTCATTCATTTTAAATATTAATATAATAGGAATTTTTTTTTTAATTTTTTGAATCACCTTTTAACCCTCAACATTTAAAATTTTGCTAAAATACCCCAGCCATATAAAACTTTAATTTGTAACAAAATCACCACCACCCACCCCAACCCACTGCCGGCAGCCAACCATCACTGCCGACAGTCGACGGAATGTTGCACGACTGGTCATATATGGGCAGCCGTGTGCCAGCAAAGTCAGAAATGGCCATGGATCACAAATCTATGGCCATTTCACGGCCAGATCTGTAGCCGTTTCACAGCCACATCTTTGGCCATGAAACGCCCATAGAAACGCCAGATCTGGCCGTTTTCGGCCATGGATCAAGGCTTTACTGGCGCACGACAGGCCAAATCCCGTCGGTCATGCACCATTACGGTGACTGACGACGGCAGCCGACGGTAGCGATTCACGCCTGGCGGTGGTCTTGGGTGGCTGGGGGTATTTTGTTAACTTTTAAACTTTTTTGTGGCTGGGGTGTTTTAGCTAATTTCTCAAATGTAGGGGGGTTGGGTTGTTATTTGGTAGACATTTGAGGACAATTGTGTCTGAAATGGTTTTTAATTAAGGGAAAAATGAGAAGAAAAATCATATTACTCCATTAATGTTTTAATAACAGCCTTTAGCAAGGTAATAAAATTACTCCCTACATTACCAACAGTAACCACTATTTGCAATAAAATATTACCGTAATATTTTATTACTTGAAAATTAAACAAAGGAATCTTACAAAATAAACGAATATTACCCCCGATCCAAACGACCCCTATAATATATAAAACTAACGTCTGAATTTAACAATGGGTAGAAAGATGTTTTCTCAAAGTTTCTAGGCGCGAAAAGTAATTACAGAAAACTTTGGGTGGGAAAATGTCATTCACTCTAGTTTTTAATTGGAGTATATAGTTCAAACTTTGAAGAACAAAAAGTTTTGGCCCTTTCGAGTAAGATGATTGTCCAATCAAATTGCTATATATTATTATTTCAAAATTAATTAGTTATGATGTACTCTACTCGTCTCACTGATGGTTTTACGTGTCTGCATCTGATTGGAGGAAGGTATATGTGTAGTAACTGCGGATTATTCCCGGAATCACAGTCAAAACTCAAAAGTCAAAACCTAGACTCTATTTCGAGTCATTTTCAACAACGGCGCTGTAACACACACCAAACTAATAGCCAAACCAGACGACGACGACTAAGAACACCAAAAGAGCCAAATCAAAGTATGGCCATTGCCGGTAAGCTTTCTCTGTCCGTCGCGCCCGTAACTCACCGCTCTGTGGCCCCACTCAATCCCCTCCGATCGTCCGCATTCTTTTCTTCGTCGACTCTTCAGTTGATATGTAGCCGGTCAAATTTGACTATTAAAAGCCCTAAATTTCGTGTCTCAGCATCTTCAATGAATATCGATGCACCGGAGAAAGCTTCGCGAGCCTCTTTCCTTGACCGGAGAGAAAGTGGTTTCCTTCACTTCGTCAAGTACCATGGCCTCGGCAACGACTTCATTTTAGTAAGTTTAGAAATTTATTGAATCTGAATTTTCATTTTTTTGGTTGAAATTTATGGAAATGTATATAAATAGAAGTGCTAAATGATGCAATGTTGATTCAACTGAGCCTAGAGTAATTGTTTGGCTGAGTTAATTAATTAAGCGTGAAATCCATTGAATAAGAATGTTTGGTCAATTGCTTTTCTTCATTTTTAGTGGCAGGATAAGTGATTTTGATTTGCTACTAACTGAATAAATTTTGAAAAGGTTGATAATAGGGACTCTACGGAACCTAGGATAACTCCGGAGCAAGCGGTGAAACTATGTGATAGGAACTTTGGTATTGGAGCTGATGGAGTGATCTTTGCTATGCCTGGAGTAAATGGCACTGATTATACCATGAGGATCTTCAATTCTGATGGTAGTGAGCCGGAGGTTTGGCCCTTATACTCTTGCTATATTTTCTGACTTATATTCTGTTTGTTGATTAAGGAGATTGTAAAAGTGTTTTGCTGTATACTACGTGATTGTAGTTCATTACCCTGATCTATTTCAGGGAAATGTATGTACCAACATTGTATAAAGTGTTAGCAAATTTTTAATGTTTTTCTTTATCTTCTAGATGTGTGGTAATGGAGTAAGATGCTTTGCAAGATTCATTGCCGAGCTTGAAAACTTACAAGGGAAGCAGAGGTATTTTTTTCCATTTCAACATGCTCCTATCAAAAAGTTGTTTTTATATCCTAAAAACATAGAAATAGATCAAAATGTCATATGCACAGAGGGTAATCTTTGGTAATATCAGCAGAAGAAACTGCTTGAAAAACACTATTCTACAATGAATTGTGTTATTCCATCCTGAAAATTTTTGAAGGGCATGTAATAAGTTATTTATTTCTAATTGATGTAGTTTTACTGTACACACTGGTGCTGGTCTTATTGTTCCAGAAATTCAAGATGATGGGAAGGTATGTTATTCAGAACTGTGTATTTCAATTTCTCAGTGTACCTAGTTTTAACATGTAAAAGTTGCTTTGCCAGCATCAAATATTTCTTCTGATTTAGCTCTTGGCTAGTCAAAACATCAAATATTAGTCTGCCTCTTTTAATGGCTTGATCCTTTTTACAACTGTGCTTTATTTTAAGTTCTCTTCTAGTTGTAAAATAGTAACTACCCGTGTCATTTTGGGAGTCTATCTTTAGTGTCTGTGCCAACAATGCAATTCCAGGTCAAGGTTGATATGGGTGAACCGATACTTAAAGCTTCAGATGTACCTACAAGACTCCCTGCAAATAAAGATCAATCAGCAGTTAAGTCAGAACTTGATGTTGATGGAGTAATCTGGAATGTGACATGTGTTAGCATGGGAAATCCTCACTGTGTAACTTTTGGTACTAAAGGAGGCCAGGTGTGCATTCTGAATCAGACTTTTATATTATATAGAATCTCTCATTAAATGTTGACCTTAATGGATAATCCATGCATCAGTGCATTGGTTTTCTTTTTGTCAATTTGAAAGAGTGGCGAAAAGCAAAGCAATGCACTGATGCATTTCCTTATGAACTGTTAACAAAGCTCGTGCTGCTGTTCAGTTACTATATGCATTTCCTTGTTCTTTCTCTTACTTTAGTTCAATCTTCCTAATTATGTGCAAAAGTGATCTAGATTCTTATCGATTATCATATGTTTATATTTACTGAAACACTTCATTGATTTAGTGAAATTTAATTTCTATCATTCATTTATATCTCTCTACTGATTATTTGCTTAATGATGCAATTGAACAGAATTTGAAGGTTGATGAATTAAATTTAGCTGAAATCGGGCCTAAATTTGAACATCATTCTCTGTTCCCGGCTCGAACTAACACAGGTTAGTTTTTATCAAAGTATGGACATGATTTGGCGTTGGCAATCAAGTCCAGAGCTTAGTTTTGTACCCATTTCATACTGTAAAACTGCTTTTCTCGGTATATTATCATTTTTTCTCCCATAAATAATTAAATAGCTGTACTGTGGAATACACTATTGGCTTTTAGTTTGCATTGTTGGTGTTGACAGTAACTAGAATTTCATATGTTATTGGTCATTAATCTATTAGCATCATACTGTCAGTTACCTCTATTCAAAAGAAACCCAATATATGTTGTTTGTGTCAATGGTTTCCATGCAGCCATGGAAAATATGACTCGAGTTAATTACACCAATCTCCCCTGAGTTTTCAATGTTTCACAGATATATAGAAAAGATCATTAGGTTAACACAAAGACCCTACTCCTTTAACTTCCGTTAGGGCTTCATTAGGATTATTTCCATTACACCCCCTTCAACATAAAAATTGACAAATTGCTCCCTATAATTAGTCACTTACACCTCCTACTGTCAAGTTTTGGTGTTAAATTAATTTAGAGAAGGGCACCAAGTTGAAAGTTAAAATATTTAGCAAGGTAAAAATATAAAAACTGAAAAAAAATTAAAATATATATATTTCTGTAAATTGAAAATTCAATAATAAATTTCTAAATTCTTGCTATCTAAGAATGGTGGTTCTGGGTATCTCTGATCACCCTAAACCCTTGTTCTTTTTAAAACAAAAAGTAAATTCTTTTAAAAATAATATTAGATCTTAAGTTTTTTTTTTTTTTAAACTTTTTCTAAATTTCTTTTATTATTCTGAAATATTTGATGTATGATTTAGTATTTTAACATATAAGGTCTATTTTACCATTCCCTCAATTATCTTTAACACCAAAAATGGATGGCAAAAGGTGTAAGTGGCTAATTATGGAGGGTAACTGCTGGGTTTTTTATGTTAGAAGGGGTGTAATGAAAATAACCCTGACAGAGCCCTAACGAAGTTAAAAGAATGGGTTGTTTGTTTTAACCTAATGCTCTTTTTTATCCGCCTGTGAAAGGTTGAAACCTCAGGGGAGCTCAATCAATGTAAATAACTCTATATGACTCTGACCTTGAGATTAGGCTTTAATGTTTGAAGTCCTGATGCGCTACATTTTGTTTTTGCATTTGAAGTTGATTCTCATTTTCAATTATAGCTTCTGTGCTGGTGTGGTTATAGTTGAGTTCTGCACTCTTTTGTGCCATAATCACATTATACTCTCAATTTTTCCAAAGAAGTATATTTAAATTATGGCACCTTACCATGTGTGGATGATGAAGGTTCTGTGATTGTTTTCTCAAATGAAAAACTTAAAGCTGGATAAAAAAAAAAGGAAAAAAAAAAAAAAAAGCAGGGATGGGAGCAGCTCTTCCATGTAAATAGCTTAAGGCTTGATTCTTGTCTCTAAATTTTTTTTCTTCTATTATTATTTTTATCATTGTCTAATAGGGTCTTACTGATAGGACTTCGCAAAGTATAAATTACTCTGCTTTGTTGACAGGCCTTGGGAAATTACAAAGATATTGAACTTAAAATTTACCCTATGATTAAGCATGTTATGAAGATGTGGATATAGAATATCTTCATCTTCATGACCTACAACTCATTGGGTCCTTCCCTTTTTCATTTTTGTCTTGATACACAACTTTCTCTTGTATATAATGTATTAACCGTGAATATTTCTTAATATATTTGCAGAATTTGTGGAAATTATTTCACCTTCACGTTTGAAAATGCGTGTTTGGGAGCGTGGGGCAGGTTAGTTATCCTTCTGAACTATATGCTGCTTAGATGAATTGACAGTTCACTGTACTGCAAATTGTGGGTTAGTTGTATTTGGTTATGCCAGAATCATACGTGCTTTTTTTTACCAATAGGAGCAACATTGGCTTGTGGGACTGGTGCTTGTGCAGTGGTGGTTGCTGCAGTTCTTGAGGGTCATGCTGGGAGAGTAAGTTCAAGATTAGCTTTAGAAAACTAATATAAACTAGATATAACCTGAGATATTTTTCATTGAAGGCGTGATATGCTATTTACAGCCCAACAATAATCATTCTATATGTGCTGTTATGTGTTTTCCTCATACTCCGAAATGTTTATTTGTCTAAAACAGAGTTGCAGGGTGGATCTACCTGGAGGGCCATTAGATATTGAATGGAGGCAGGAAGACAACCATGTGTACATGACAGGCCCAGCTGAAGTAGTGTTTTATGGGTCAGTGCCCGTGTAATATGTCTTCATGTAATCAATTTATTTTCATCATCTAGCATTTACCCAAATTTTGTAGTAATTTAAAATAGTAATTCTATGAACATCAATTAACATTTTTGTGTTCTTTAGTTCTATGTCAAGTGTGATGTAATTATGGTTGGGAAAGTTTACATATTCTTCCAATAATCCATCCCTGAAATTTGACAAAAGTAAAAGAATAATACTAGATGTTTAAACTTTTTATACAAACTCCACCATATATACTGATTATCATAAAATGAATAAATGAATGCATATAAAAAATCTACTCATTAATCAATTAATAAATTTAGATGAATGGCATGTTAATGAAATAGTGGTGTTACATCAATTTATGTATATTAGTTTGTACGTAGCCTTAATCTTATATAACATAAATCAATCCCAAGGCGCAAGTAAAATCCTGTAGTTATAGGTTTTTATTTTTTAATTTGCCGATTGTGATATTTCCATTACTTTAAGAAAACTCATTATATTTCAAAGAGATTTTCAAATAGTATTAGACTTGTATTTTGAGAGAGAAATAACCTGATTCATTGTTTATATTGAATATTTTGTTGCAAAATTGAGAATTAATGGTTTGTTCGTTTGTGTATTCAATTTACCCTTTTGTGTTTTCAACCTAGAAAATCATGAAACACATTTGTTTGTGATTTGAGCATATTTGAATTTGAAAAATGGGGCTGAAGGCTATTTACAATATTCATTTTAGAGTAATGCTAGTTTTATAAATATACATACAAAAGGGGTATACAAAGACAATCCCCACCCTTGATTTTTATGATCTCTCTCTCTCTCTCTCTCTCTCTCTTTTTCTATTTTTTTTTTTTTTCTTATTACTGATGTTACTTTATAGCCCTTTTTGTATGAGTCTTTGTAAGGATAACATTTTGGATACGTATATTCAATGAATTTAACAAAGAAAGTTGACATAAAAGTATGTAGTGAAGGAATAAAGAAGACAATTCAATCTTTTAACGTATGAGATTGAATAATAACCAAAACCAACCATTTATGTTTTCTCCATTAATTTCATAAATGATCCAAAAACTTATCAACCCTTAGGGCATCTCCAACCCACGCCATTTTGGTGTAAAAAACACCAAAATGGCATCGGTTTTTGCTCCAACCCAATGCTAATTGTTGCACCAAATTGGTGTGGAGCTATTGTAGTTCTACACCAAATTGGCATGGCACTGTAGCCCCATTAATTTTTTTTTTTAATTTTGTTAAATTAATTTGATTATTAAATTTTACATCAAAAATCACACTAAATTTGATTATTTATATTTAATTTAATTTGATTATTATTTATATTAATATTTATAATAATAAATTCATAATAATTATATAATTCAAAAAGTGATGAAAAATTAAAAACAAAATTTTATTCAATGCAAATATTAAACCACAATAACTCAAAATAAAAATTAACACTAATTTAAAAACACTAAAATTAAAAGAACAGATGGAAGCGCTAACTCCTGAAGTTGAAATTGTCATAGATAAAAATATCCGATTTCAAAATTTTCTTGCTCGACATAGACAAATCAAGGATTCAAAGGCTCAATATGCTCTTCGAAATGCATTAATTGATCATTTGTGGGAAGAATATACTAATTCAGAAAATTAAATTACTATCAATATAAAATTTTACTTTTGATTAAATAAATGCTTAATTTTATTAAATTAGTATAATTTTTAAAATAATTATTATTTAATAAAAATATCATTCTTAATATTTAATTAATATATATATAAATAATGAGTGAAATAAATTAATTGTTGGTTATTATACTAAAAAAAAAAAAAGAGAATATTCTAAAGAATATTCTTTTTAATATAATATTTGATGTAATAGATTGGAGATGTAATAGTATTTTATACCAAAAATCACACCAATCTGATGCAATGGGTTGGAGATGGTTTTAATATCTCTACTTTTTGCAGGAAACAAGTTGAATTTTATCCATCAATAATCTGTAGAAATACCTCAAAACTTTGTACAAAACGCCGTCGTTTTCCAATGCAGAATCGTAATTAGGTGACGGCGTGACGCGTCTCGTTTGAATTTTACTCCAAGGGTCCCACTTATTCAAAAAAAAGGCGAAAATTTTTCAACGGCTATTTTCTGCATACAACTACAAACATACAAGTAGCCGTTAGAGATTCAAAACCTCATTTCACCACTTCAATCTCAACACACTTTCAAAAATCTAAACAAAAGCATAATTTTCGGTCACAGAAAGGATTCCGAAAAGAATAACACAAAAGCACGACCAATCAAAGGCTCTTTCCAATCAATTCTTCTTCCAGTTATTCCATCAATCGAGGGTTTTCATTAAAAATTTGGTGAGTGCCGTTTTTGAGTACTGAAGCTTCAAAGTTTTTTTAAATTTTTTTTGGTTCGATTACTGATAAATTCAGAGGAGAAAAATTGTGTGCGTTGCTTTTGTTGTATTAGGTATTAAAATATAAAGATAAGAACATAATGATGTCAGTCACTCCCGATCAATTTAGAAAAGTTGGAATGGGGTTAACACCATCTCCAACTCCTTTCCTCACGCCTCGGCCTGAACGGCGTCGCCCAGATTCTAGAGGTTCTGAGTGGAACTCCCATCGTCTCGACAAAGATAAAGAGATTAATGTGCAAGTGCTCCTAAGATGCAGGTGGGTTTCAATTTTCAGGTCTTTTGTCCAAATTTATTAGATGGGCCAAGTTTTGATGACTATTTTGGAATTTAACATATTAACATTTTTTGGATGCTGCATTTATGATATAATTGAAAAACAAAATGTAAAATTGCAAGCAGATATCATGTAACATGACCCCTAATTTTCTCATTCAATTGTATATATCAGGCCATTGAGCGACGATGAGCAAAGGTTAAATGTCCCAAGAGTGATATCATGTAATGAACATAAGAGGGAAGTCACTGTTATGCAAAATGTAGCTAACAAGCAAATAGATAGAGTTTTCACTTTTGACAAGGTAAGCTTCTGCAGTGTTTGATAATATTACCCAATGGATTTGGATTTATTGTTTGTGTGTACATAATATATCTGACTTTAAAAAATTTGCAAGGTTTTTGGACCAAAATCACAACAAAGATCAATATATGACCAAGCCATTGCTCCCGTTGTAAATGAAGTCCTTGACGGCTTCAATTGCACAGTCTTCGCATATGGGCAGACAGGCACTGGTAAAACATATACAATGGAGGGTGGGATGAGAAATAAGGTATAGAAGAATTGTTTCATTCATATTCTAAAATTTTATAGTTTAAGCTGCGCTTCCTCTGGTTGAGTAAGTAACATATACATATGATGTATCACGAAACGTAGGGTGGGGATTTACCTGCTGAAGCTGGTGTTATTCCAAGAGCAGTTCGCCAAATTTTTGATACACTCGAGGCACAGAATGCTGACTATAGCATGAAAGTGTCATTTTTGGAGCTGTACAATGAAGAAATAACTGATTTGCTAGCTCAAGAAGACAATCCTAAATCTACAGAAGATAAGCAGAAGAAACCCATTTCCTTGATGGAGGATGGAAAGGGTTGTGTGGTTGTAAGAGGCCTTGAAGAAGAAGCTGTATATAGTGCAAATGAAATTTACACCATTTTGGAAAGAGGATCAGCCAAAAGACGTACAGCAGATACCTTGTTAAACAAGCACAGCAGGTTGAGTCCTTTTATAATCTTTTCAGCTCAATAACCATATTGAACATATAGAAAATTAATCAAAATTTTCCAAATTTCTATTGCAGCCGCTCCCATTCTGTCTTTTCCATTACTGTCCATATAAAAGAAGCAGCTGTTGGAGATGAGGACCTTATTAAGTGTGGCAAACTAAATCTTGTTGACTTGGCGGGATCAGAGAATATATCTCGCTCAGGTGCACGGGAGGTATGAAATCATCTAAGTATTGTAAATTACTTTTTTGCCGATTAATTTACTCGATTATTTGCTATCTTTACATGGAGTCAGTATATTTGAGAATCATGTGAAAAATATCAAGTCTGAGAAGAATAAGTTTTGCAATAATTTGTTCCTTTAGTTCAAGTGGTTATCAATTTGATTATATCCGCTTTAAATTGCAGGGTCGTGCAAGGGAAGCAGGGGAGATAAACAAGAGTTTACTCACCCTGGGCCGTGTCATTAATGCACTAGTGGAACATTCAGCTCATATTCCATATAGGTTATTTCGGATAGCTGCTATCATTCTATTAGTTGATTGGATATTCCGTAAGTTTTTATTAAACTATTTGCCCTTGTATGCCGACGTTCTGTACAGGGATAGCAAGCTAACAAGGCTGCTAAGAGATTCTTTGGGAGGGAAAACGAAAACTTGCATCATTGCTACAATTTCTCCATCTGCTCATTCTCTTGAAGAAACTCTGAGCACTCTAGATTATGCTTACCGTGCTAAGAACATAAAGAATAAACCAGAGGTTTGTTTGGCTGCTTATTTTCACTTTCTTTTTTTCATTTTTCCACTGTATACTGATTTTGAAGCTGATCTTTTGCAGGCAAACCAGAAAATGTCCAAAGCTGTGCTGTTGAAGGAATTGTACTTAGAAATAGAGAAAATGAAACAAGGTTTGAATAATGCATCTGCAGTCTTAGATTTTTCTGTGTGACAAACAAATAAGCAGTTTGGTTCTTACATGTTAATCTAACGCAGATGTTCGAGCAGCAAGGGACAAAAATGGTGTTTACATTCCACATGAACGATATGCCCAGGATGAAGCTGAAAAGAAGGTAAAAGTTTTTAAAATAAATTAAGAGTCTGGCAACTGTCAGCGACTTTCTCTACTCTATATGGAGCTTGTTTTATTTGGTTAATGCACACATGGGATAACTTGCAGGCAAGAGTTGAGAAAATAGATCAACTGGAGAATGATCTCAGCCTCAGTGAGAAGGTACAACTTGCTCGTACTTTGATGTCCTTCCCATACCATACATGTGGTACTTGAATAGATTATCAGAGTTATTCTTTGTCTCAGGAAGTTGATAGGTACCGCGACCTGTATATTACTGAACAAGAAGGGAAATTAGACTTAGAAAGCGAGCTCAAGGATTGCATG